GTCTGGCTGTAAGTTGATAGGGTGCGCGCAGAGTGCGGTGTGATAGCATCGTCATGGTTGCGGTTCGCTAACCCACAACAACGCATAGTGTGCTCTGTGCCGTGTACGTTCGCGTGTATCACGATCTTGTCGGTCGCTCTTAGTCGAGCCTTGCTTTATTGTAATACGGAGAAGGGGTAGCCGGCAGAAAGCACTCCAATATTGACGTAATGTGCATACCGCTGCCAGGGCGATCGCCAGCGAGGCTGGGTATTGGCTGGGAGCTTGGCAATTATCTCTCGACTGGATTCGCGCCGCATCTCGCGAATCACAAGGTTGCTTTTGCGCCAACTCGGTAATTTCCTTGTGCCCTTGTCGCGCATCTTAGATGGGAACGCGTTTCGTATGCTGACCGATAAGAGTAGCAGTTGTATAGCCTCTTCGACGGCAATGCCGAGATGTATTCAACGCCGCACACTAGCAAGCCCGCGGCAATTGAGGCTGGTGATGCAGGTCGACGACTGCGTCCAGGGTCCAGAAGCTCGATGCGCGCACGCAGAGCTGAGGTTGCTAGCGCACTGACGAGTCGCGCGATTGGGCCGATTTGTGGAGTGTGCTTGGACCATACGTCACACTAGAGGCCCGCAGTCCTGTTTATTTGTATCTAGTCCCAGGGAGCCTCCCAATTTCCTATCGAAGCATCTTCCCTTCGCAAACCCTACACTCTCATCTCACGGGCGCGCGACTACCTAGCTGCCCATCATGTCGAGTTCCGTAAGTTGAAATTCGCTGCGACAACCAAACGCGAGCCTGCGCTGACCATAACACAGGGTGGAGACATTGGCAGTGCCAAAGAGGGCTCATCCAATTCCCTCTCCAGTTTGGTATCCACCCTGGTACCGACTGCCATTCTTGCCTTCGCCTTCGTGGCCGCCTTCTTCATTGCGCGCAAGTATTTCCGTCGCGTCTATGCGCCCAGAACCTACCTCAACCATCTGGGGCAGCAGCGACAGACCCCCGCGCCGAGCCCAGGCTTCTTTGGTTGGATAAAGGACTTTAAGAACCTCAAGGACGAGTATATTCTGGACCACCAGTCCATTGACGGCTACCTGTTTGTGCGCTTCTTCAAGGTTCTCATCATCACCTGCTTCCTAGGATGTCTCGTCACATGGCCTGTCTTGTTCCCCGTCAATGCCACTGGAGGCGCAGGCCAAGAACAACTCGACCTCCTCTCCATGAGCAATGTCGACCCCGCAGGCACCAACGTCAACCGCTACTATGCGCACGCTGGTATCTCCTTCATCTTTCTCTCAATGGTCATGGCTATCGTTGCCCGCGAGTCTTTCTATGTTGTCAACCTCCGCCAAGCATACCGCCGTTCACCATGGGGAGCCAGCCGCTTGTCCTCGCGTACCATTCTGTTCACAAATGTCCCTACCACCATGTCCCAGTCGGCTCTGTTCGAAATGTTCCCTGGCGTCAAGCACGCCTGGGTTGCGTCCAACACCAAGGAGTTGGATGACTTGGTCGAGGACCGCGACAAGACTGCCATGAAGCTGGAGGAGGGCGAGATCCAATTGTCTCGCGATGCTAACACAAACCGAATGAAGGCCGAGAAGGGCAAAAAGCACTTCGTTGCGAGCGACGTATCTGACGGCACCAAGTGGATTGACCCCAAGAAGCGACCAACACACAAGCTGAAGTTCTTGATTGGCAAGAAGGTTGACACCATTGAGTACGGGCGCTCGCACTTGGCTGAGCTCCTTCCCAAGATTCAACAAGAGCAGGACAAGCACTGGAATGGCCAAGGCGACTTGGTTGGAGCTGTCTTCCTTGAGTTCGACACCCAAAAGCACGCGCAAGATGCTTGGCAGATGATGCAGAGCAGCAAGACTAGGCCTGACAAGAAGCTCAAGGCGCGTCAGCTTGGTGTCATGCCTCAAGAAGTTGCCTGGGGTAATCTACGCATCAAGCCCATGGAGCACCTCGTTCGTTGGGCACTAGCTACTGGCTTCATCTCTGTCATGATCATCTTCTTCGCGGTTCCTGGTAAGATCCATAAAACATATCCTACAGCATCCCACTAACGTATGCAGTTGCCTTTGTCGGTCTGATCTCCAACATCAACTACCTCGCTGATCGTTTCACCTGGCTCGAATGGATCCTGGACATTCCCAAGGTGATTCTGGGTGTAGTCACTGGTCTCCTTCCCGCTGTCATGCTTGCCGTTCTCATGGCTCTTGTGCCTATCGTTTGTCGTCTGATGGCCAAGTTGGCCGGATACGTTACATACAGTCAGATCGAGCTCAAGTGCCAGAGTTGGTACTTTGCCTTCCAGGTTGTGCAAGTCTTCCTTGTAGCAACTCTCTCTAGTGCCATCACGTCCGTCATCAACCAGGTCCTCGACAACCCGGGCATTGTACTCAAACTTCTCGCCACCAACCTGCCCAAGGCCTCCAACTTCTACATTAGCTACTTCATCCTGTTGGGTCTCTCGTCGGCTGCCGGAACTCTGCTGAATATCGGAGGCTTTGTTGTAGTAGTGCTCCTCGGCCGCATCCTCCCCGGCAAGACACCTCGCAAGATCTTCGAAAAGCTTACCAAGCTCTCTGCTCCTTCATGGGGATCTGAGTACCCCAAGTGGGTCAACTTGGCCGTCATTGGTATCACCTACTCTGGCATCGCACCTCTTATCCTCGGTTTCGCCACGGTTGGTTTCACCCTCATCTACATTGCTTTCAGGTACAACTTCCTCTACGTCTATGAGACCGACCTGGACACCAAGGGTGAGGCCTACCAGAAGGCGCTTCGCCAGCTACTTACGGGCGTCTACCTTTCTGAGATTTGCCTTATTGGTCTCTTCGCCATTGCTACCGCCGACAACATCCAGGCTGTTGGTCCTCTGATCATCATGTGTATCCTTCTCTTCCTCACCATCGTCTTCCAGTTCACTCTGAAGTTCGCCCTGAAGCATGAAGAAGCACGCCTTGCCTACACTGATCCATCCCCCGCCCACGGCGGGCTCAAGGGACACATTGAGGATGGTATGCACGCCCAAAATGGCGAGAAGGTCAACACAACCGACGCCACCCCTAGCTACGCGCCTAAGCCTACTCGTATGCCCATGTTCCTGCGTAAGATGTTCAACCCCGAGAAGCACTCGATCCACAATCTCTCAGCCTCACTCGACCAATTCTACCACCAACCGCAGGAACCACTGCCAATCGAGATCCAGAAGCGTGCTTTCTTCAACCCATCGGTCACTAGTCCTACGCCTGTGTTGTGGATTGTGAGAGATGACATGGGCATCAGCCAGCGCGAGATCAGAGACACGCAAAAGATTGTTCCCGGACTTATCATGACTGACGAGCAGGCCACCTTTAACGAGAAGGGCAAGGTCAGCTGGGATGGTGTTGAGAACGGTCACTCTCGAGAGGCACCCGTCTTCGACGAGCGTATCGTTTACTAGTGTAATGGAGGATGGTGTTTTAACTAACGATGACGGATTACTGGAGTTCGATACCCCAAAGGGATGAAAGGAACGTTGTGCTTTCCTTGTATTTGCAGAGTTTCCTAGCATGAACAAACGGGTGATGGCGAAAAAGGCGTGTTTGCTCCAACACTTTTCTCTTCAGTAAACGAGTACCCCTACTACTTTCGCTATATATAAATAGTAATGATCACTGAGTTGCGCATTCAGTTTTCCACTGCGGGTACGTGTGAGCGATGCAAGACACGAATCATGATGACCACACACATGCTGTTTGAGTGGAACTAGTGTATTGGGTATCATGCTGTAGTGCGCCTCACCAAGATGGTGTAATTCAATCTTCAAACTGCGCCTGCCCTCCTCTTTTCAAGAATCTGCAACTTCAAACCTTCGGCAGCAACCTCGGTCTCCAACACTCTGCCTACGCCCTTCTTCCATGTCTCCTCAAGCGTCTTGATTTCACCGCTTGCGTTGTTTTGCTGCGACTGCCTCAACATCTCTGCCTCTTCTTGCTGCTTCCTCAGATCCGCCAGCTCTGCCTCGATGCCCTTCAGAATGTCCTCCAACTGCGAGTTGCCCACTAGCCACGCATTCTTGCCAAACTTCTCCAGCAGGCCCAATTGTGTCAGCCTGCCCTGGACGTACTCGGAGCTTGTGTAGGCCTGCTTCAGCGCCTTGTTCCACCTTTGTAGCAGCTCTGGCCTCTCCTCGTCGCTGGTAGGGGTTGTGTTCTCGGGCGCATCGAGATCTTCGTAGCGCTTCAGATCGACACCCGATAGCTTGGAAGTAGGGTGGTCGTCAAGTCGGGCATGTTCGCGTGCGATGAAGTCGGAAAAGGTAGGTGTGTATTTTGCGGCTGCTGGTATAAGCGCTGGGTGCATGTCTGAGGTATCTACGCCGGCGCTCCTGATATCGGCGTTGATAACGGCTCTGGCAGCAGCCAGGCTTCCAGCATCGAGCTCCGTATCGACATCTACAAGCAGTTAGCAGGCAATAACTGGTTATCGTCACGCGCGCCTCGGCGGAACAGCGCGCATCGGACATGGGGCTGTTCCAGGCAATCGCAAATTGCACATACAAGGGAGATGGTCGTAAGATTCCTGGATGAGTGGCATTGTTGCAAGGGACCTGCAGGACGAGGGGGAAGAGGGTGTATTGGAGACGGCGAGGTATTGGCAGTGAAGGGTGTCGCGAAACTAGAGGCAGGCCCGGTAAATTTAGGCTACTGGGTCTGTCCGGGCCCCCCGCCAACCAGCACACGAGGAGCCCCGCAACGTCATCCTAGGCTCATGCATGTGCCTGACGCGACTGTCGAGCTTCTGCGAGCTCTGTTGGCCATTCGTACGACTCCAGGAGCGCCAGCATCTTGTTTCCCCAGTGCCAGGCGAGCCCATGTGCAGGCATATAGGCGTCCGGCACGCGTAGCTCCATGTGCCATCAGTAGCGTACAAGTACTTCTTCTTGCCTCCACAGCGGGCTCCTGCTTTCTTCCGCACACATCCGTCCACACCATACACACCTCATCGCGTGCATGGCGCGCTCGCACATCGCCGTGGCCCTGGGCGCTGCCCTTATCGCCTCATTGATCATCGCACAGCTCGTCATCAACTTGGGGTTTCCTGCCGTCGACTTCTGGCACGGAAGGCTCGACAATAGCTACAATGGTGCCCAGCAGGACCGCTTCAACAGTGAGAAGCAGGATGGCGGCCTGGCCGATGACCCATCTTCGTACCTCATCGGCGTTGGCAAGGCGGACATCACGGGGTGAGTGGCGCGAACAAACTACATGCGACTGTACTGACGACACCACAGTCCGGTTGTCGAGCTCAACATGATGGGCTATGCCAACTCGTCGCAAATTGGCTCCGGACTCCGCCAACGCCTCTACTCCCGCGCCTTCATCGTTGGCAACCCGAGCGAAACCAGCGAACGATTCGTGTACCTTGTCCTCGACACCCAGTCCGGAGACTCTGCCATCCGCAACGGCATCTTGGAGGGCCTCCAGGCCATGGGCTCCGAGTACTCCGTCTATGGAAAGAACAATGTAGCTGTGACAGGCACCCACAGCCATGCTGGGCCAGGAGCCTGGCTGAACTACCTTCTTCCCCAGATCACAAGTCAGGGCTTCGATAAGCAGAGCTACCAGGCTATCGTCGACGGAACACTTCTATCTATCAGGAGGGCACACGAGAGTCTGACCCTAGGAACTGTCAGTGCTGGGACTGCGAAGATTGCCGATGCGAACATCAACCGTAGTCTGTTCGCCTACCTGGCCAACCCACAGGCAGAACGCGATCGCTATACTGACAACGTGGACAAGACCATGACACTCCTGAAGTTTACAAGAGCCAGTGATGGAAAGAGCATTGGAATTCTGAATTGGTTCCCTGTCCATGGTACAAGTTTACTCGGCAACCAGACGCTCATTGCTGGAGACAACAAGGGCGTGGCTGCCTACTTGCTGGAGAAGGACATCGAGGCGGACGCTAGCAACTCAAATGCTGCCGAGGGCTTCGTGGCGGGCTTCTCCCAAGCTAACGTCGGTGACACTACCCCCAACGTACTTGGCGCCTACTGTGAAGATGGCTCGGGCCAACAGTGCCGACTCAATGACAGCACCTGTGGAGGAAAGAGCCAGGACTGCCACGGCCGTGGACCATACTTTGGTCTCGACGACGGAGGCCACAAGTCATGCTACGAGATCGGCAGGCGTCAGGCTCTGGGCGCCAGGAGCATCTACGACTTCAATGAGTTTACGCCTATCTCTGGCAAGGTCCGCTCGTTCCACACCTTTGTCGACTTCTCCAATTTTACCTTCACCCTCAGCAATGGATCCGTCGTTCACACTTGCCCAGCAGCAATGGGCAACTCCTTTGCCGCTGGTACATCTGATGGGCCTGGCGCATTCGACTTTGTTCAGAACGACCCTGGCGCGCCTTCGAATCCTTTCTGGAATATAGTTGGCAGCGCCATCGCACCTCCAAGCAAGGAGCAGAAGGAGTGCCAATACCCGAAACCTGTCTTACTAAATGTTGGACAGGCTAACATACCGTACCCATGGTCTCCAAATATTGTCGACATCCAAGTTCTTCGTGTTGGCCAGCTAGTGATCATTGTCTCACCAGGTGAGGCTACGACCATGTCTGGTCGCCGCTGGCGCGAGGCAGTACACAACTACATTGTCTCCTCGAACATTGCTTCGTCGCCAATTGTCGTGCTAGGTGGACCAGCCAACAGCTACACTCATTATATTGCGACAGAAGAAGAGTATGGTATCCAGCGATATGAGGGTGCATCCACCTTGTATGGTCAGCACACTTTGAACGCATACATCAACTCCACCTTGACGTACCTTCCCTACCTCGCCGACGATGCAACAAGCTCTCCGCCACCTGGGCCTTCCCCTCCCGATAACCGCGATAAGAGCATCTCCCTCATTACTGGCGTCGTCTACGATGGTGCAGGCTTTGGGCGTTCATTTGGCCAAGTTACTAAAGACGTCCTACCCACCTATGCCCGTGGCGCCACCGTATCTGCTACATTTGTCGGCGCCAACCCGCGTAATAATCTCCGTCTAGAAGGTACTTTTGCTTCAATTGAGAAGCAGAACAGCGATGGCACTTGGGTGCAAGTGAAGAATGATGAAGACTGGGAGCTGGTCTACCAATGGAAGCGTGTCAACGGACTTACAGGGACGAGTGATGTTACAATCACATGGGACACCAGTTTCACAAGACCAGAAGCAGGCACATACAGGATCCGGTACTACGGCGATGCTAAGAAGGTCGGTGGAACGATTACAGAGTTTGAGGGTTCGAGCGCATCATTCAAACTAACGTAAACCACGCCTGCAATATGGATTGATACACGACACTTATGTGGGAATGCACAAACGAAGAGAGGAATCTATAATTTATACCTAATGTTGGTCAACGTGAAAAATGTCATTATTTTGTTTCCCTGTACTCACTTCCCAGCTTAAGAAGGATGCAAAGGGAAGAAAACGCCATTGCGAAGCTGATGGCATAGGAGATGAGATTGTATATGACATCTTCTTTGGAAGGTGTTGTCTGCTATCTACCCGTGCGTTCACGGACTTTATCTATCTGTCATCCTAGTCGTGTCCATGCTTGTTACCGTAGCCAGGCGGGTCTTTTTAGTTCTTCTCATTCGTATCTCATCGTCCTTTTCGCTGCATCCTACTCAGACTCCATACCCTCGTCCTCATACTAGACCAATTTCAGTGTACCGATCCACCTTGGCCTTTCAACAAGCTTGTCATATGTGCTACCAACTTCACGCTTTCGCGAAAAAGCCTGTGCGCCTCTTCGGTCTTTGCTTTCTCTTGTTCAAGTTTGTTCTCAAGCTTGCCGGCCCGCATGCCGTTGTCTGCCTTCATCTCCTCAAATTTCTCGTTCAAAGCGGCTTCAAACTGTTCTTTCTCGCGCGCTATGCTGTTCTTGTACGGTCGTAGATCGCGTCTAGCATTCTCGCCATCCCTTTGTGCATCTTTCAGTTGTTTCTTTAGCTGGAAGATCTCCATTCTCAAACTTGTGCTTGTGTCGGCCTTCTTTTTGTTGGTTTCAATCTCCTCCAGAGGTACCTTTCTCAGAAGCTGTTGACGAAGTCTGGCCAATTCCTTTTCGAGGTTGCTGACATATAGCGCACGTCTCTGTTTTTTGGTCGAGAAACCACCAGCGGGGTCACTGCGAGCTAACTTTGGAGCCTTCTTATTTCGGTTCTTTCTATTTGCTTCCTGAGGGACAATGGTGGCCTGACGATGTTGCAGTTAGCGCACGTTACGAGAAGCAGTAGTGTGCGCTTGTACGGCCTGCTTCAGAGAGTGAGTACACTTACGTGATTGGCGGGCTCAGCCTTTGGAGCAAGAGTCGGAGCGGATTTCTCAGGATGTTCTTCCTGCTTTACGTGCACATCATGCTCTCCGTGTTCTTCCCTCTCGACAGTCACTCCATATTGCAGGGGCGGACTCATGGTGGCAGAGTCGCTATGCCGAGTTGGTGTTGAGACGTTGTTGATGAGTCAGTGTTGAGTGTGATGTTTGTGATCCAAGCAGACGCGTGTACGCAATGCCAAGGGTCAAGAATGGGGAAGGAGCAAGGTAAAGGTGAGTGCGTTGCCGAAGAGACGCGACCAAGAGGGCGGTCAAAGCGCGCGTCGGTGAAGATTTATAGGTGGAATTCCTCCATTTATGCCTACATATAAGGTCCAAGTGGTTCAATTCGGAAACCTAGTTCAGGCTGTCTACATATTGTTTTGTACGATATCCATCGTGTTCCCATTTGTTTCTCAGACTACTTCGTTACGCTAGCCGGATAACCAAGCCACCATATCATCCCATTGCCTCTGCAACTTTGCCAATCGATTCTCGACCTCTTTCTTCTCACGCTTCAGCTCCTGAACCCTGCCCTCATCCCACAGATCTCGCGATTCTGCCTCTTCCTTTATCAACCACAACTCAGCTTGTAGTGATGACCTTCGCTGCCTTTCGAGAATCCGGGCTAGCTCATTTGGCCTCGGTTGATTCATCTCACACCACATCTTGACGCGTGTAATATCTTCTTTGTGTTTCATGTTGATATCCATGAGCTGCCGAACGTGGTTCTCGTTGACGATCGCGATGTCCTTTGCATGAGCTGCTTTGAGGTCATCGAAATGCTTCTTGTGATCTGCACGCTCTTTCTCGAGAGTGCTTGATAGACTGAGAACCTGCCACTCATGCCTTCTTAGATCCTTGATTAGGGAGGTTAGAGGCGATTCTGCAGAGCTGGCATGTATTGTTGACAGTAGCTTCCATTATGTTAGTGTCTTCCTCATGGGTACATTGTGGCTTTCTAAACCTACAGAATTTGCCCGTGCAATTGGGTACGTGTCGTTACGACTGAAAAGGCGTTTAAAGGATGGATTACGACCGCGTTTCGTTGGCTCTGTCCTTGACATTGTGCAGTCGTGGGTAAACGATTGAACAACATCTCGAAAATAATACAGCTTGTCAGAGAAGAGGATCTAGGAGGCTATCTTTAGGCTGCAGCTCTTGTGGGACGTAAAACTTGGACAATGCGATACGAACGGAGATGAGATAGTTTGTACGAGCGGTGTAATCATGATAGTAAAAGTGAAGGTGAAGTTGGAATCTCAAGCTAATTGTCCCAAGACTCATATGCGGTTGCTACGTTATTCCCAAACTTGGATTTGATGCTTTCGCTCCTTGGTCTCCAGATCTCAGCGTCTAGTCTCAATGTCCAGCCTCAGCGTCTTATCTACAAATGTGATAATCCCAACTGAACATGGCTCAAAATCGTAAAGCAAGGCAGTCACTGCATCCAAATCTTCCTCGATGTCCTTCAGCTCTGCCTACGCTCCCGCGATGTTATTCTAAGAAGTAGTAGCAAGATTATACACATAATCTGCTCTTGAATCCAAGCCTACTCACCTTCGGACCTACTACCACGCCTCAGTAGCAACGGTATCGAGGGCATCTTCGTCAACCTCTTGGCCTTCGTGTTTAGGTTTGGGCTTGCCTTTGGTGTCTTGACCTTCTGTGCATGTTTTGAATCCTTCAATACCTCGCCCTTCCCAGATTTATGCAGCGCAAGGAGAGAGTCGAACGTCGTCTCTGGGTTAGCCCGGAACTTCACTTCCTGGAGTAGCGGACTGCGAACACGGGTGGAGGTGTCGGATGATGATGGTGGACCGGAAGTGGATGCTAGGGATGAGGTGCAATTGGCGTCACAGGTGCTTATCCGAGAACTGGAATGTTGCGAGAAGTAGTCTTCACTGCTTGCTGCTCGAACCTAAGGATCGATGTATGAAGTTAGCCAGATCTCATGCGCAGTTCATACATGAAGTCACCTACATGTGGGCTGTGATAGCGAGGCGCGTTGTTCACAAACTCCTGAAATGATGGTGTGGATTTTGACTCGGGTATCGGAGATGGTTCTGGAGGCGATAAGGTAGAAGAACAAAAATTGTAAGTCGAATAACAAGAAGCGCGTCGGGACTCTGAGTAAGCAGACTCTTCATCCTTTTTGGCGTCAATAGAAGCAATCTTGGTTTGGACTTGAGATAGGCCAAAAAATCTACGCACCTTCTTTGTCAGCTTTGACAAAGCGCGCTGCCTGTGCTGCTTATCATCCTCCATAGTCGTAAGCGCATTGGTTCTCTCCACCTTTGGCATCACGCGTGGAACCAAGTCTCCGGGCCTACTATGACGAGTATTGGCGCTCTCGCCCAACCAATCTTGAAGGTTGTCATCCTCTATGCCCTGTACAAGCGCTAGTCTGTCTTCTGCGGACAGTGCTTGGGCGTAGTAACGCGAATATTGTCGGGGTTGCTTGCACGAAAGGACTGTCATGGAAGGACTTGAGCGATGGTGTAAGTTTAATCCGAAGGATTGGTGCTGAGTTTGCGATCCAGAATTCGCAGTACGGTCAGCTGCTTTGTTAGCACCAAAAGACGTCAATGGGTGGGAACCGTGTGGGCCGAAAGGCTCTCGTATGGGGATAGTGAAAGGTGATGAAGGAGTGTCCTGTATTGGCAATGCGACTGGTTGATCAAAAGGCTCCCACATATTTGCAGCTAGATTGTTCGACGTATAGCCATCTGTGACCCTTGAGTCCGGGTGGACACCTGACTCCCGCTGCTTCACCACCGTAAAAGAGGACGATGAAGTCGCATCCCCGGCGCCTAAAATAGGCGGCCAATGGTTATCATGGACTTCACCACGACTTATATCCTTCTTGCGTAGCGATGACATTGTACGCAGCAGATAGTCCCTAATGTGCGATTCTTTTCGGCGTCGAAACTTGCGACAAGGTGAAGAAGGGGATGGTTGTGGTGTCGGACAAGCGACTGTGTTAAAGCGGCAGAAGTTGTTCAGGTTCGAAAGCTTGAGATCGAGCTGCTATTGCCGCTGGGACATTCTAGCTGGATCAAACAATATACGCGCACTAGTATAGTCATTGTGAGGACCTGTGAGCCGAATGGAACATGCACTGTAGAGATAATGAGTACCATCGTGAATGAACAGGGAAAAGCGACAGCTGATCTGTCAATTGTTTGGTAGTAATTCATTCACTTTTGAATGACGATTCAAATCAATACCCGTTCCCACATCCTGTCCTCATCTCCGGGTAGGTCAAGCCCATCTTTCTTCATACTCTATTCTTCTTTGCATCAGTCTCCTCTTCCTGAAAACTTGGAGTCTTCTCCATCGATGGCACCATATGGAGCTATTAAGCTCATCGACATATGTAATTCCTGGCTTCGTCGTTCCTTTGAGCGGCACCTTGACCACCGGAGTATCAAGCGGGCTGAGAGAGGAGCCCGTGGGGTCAAATGCTTCAGCCGAGCCTCATCGTTGAGTTGCATGCTACGCTTAGCGAGCGAACACGAATGTTGATTATCGTCCTGTTGTCCGTCGCTGTACTCATATAACGACCCATTGGAAAAATCCCAGAATCATGGTAGCAATAACCAGGTATGTTGATGTAAGCGGTGCGTGCCGGCTTCCGAGAGATGTGGGGTCGCCTGTGGGTCTGGGATCATTGTCAGCGTTCACATTCCTGAACTTGGCGTAACTTCTAGATAGGGTAACAGCATCATCGAGACGCAATCTGCAGCCGCATAGTGGACCGCTCGGGTAAAGTGCGCGTGGGGTTTGAACTTACTGCTTCAGATGTAGACCCATGTCATCGATGGCATCACACCTCTGCCACTCCAGCTCGGGAACTGCCTCCATGGTCACGTTGTTGTCGTCGTTGAAGCTCAGCCTTTGTCCGTTACTTGCGCTAAAGGAGTGCCAGTCCGGGCTCTGAAGCTCTGAGCCTTTGGAGACTAAATATTCTGCAGCGTGTGTGTTGGGGTCAAAGCTTCGGATGAAGGACGCCCAGTATGCCTGCACGAAAACGCCAGCGGCAGAAGTAGCATTGTTCCAGATTGGTAGCAATTCTCCGACATGCGACGCGCTTCCCACGTTCCACCGGTATTGCCAGGTTGGGTTCGTGTTGTTGATGGCGTAGGTATCGGTGACATTAAGAGCAGGGCAGGTATATCGGATGTACCCATAGACATCAGCGGTCAGTGATCTCCAGCGGGCGTCAGCAGTCGTCGCAATGTTACCACCCCAAACTTGACGGATTGTATCCCAGTTCAAGGCGGGGTACTGGTCGGTGAGGAAATCCTGGGACCGAGACTGGGACATGATGCTCTTCTGAACGAAATTGATGCCATCATGCGTGGCACTGCCAAAGATAGTGGGCACGTTGACGAAATGACCAGCCTTCAATTCGTTAAAAGTGTAGTCTTGCACGAAATCGTAGTCCAGGGTCGGATTCCAGAAGTAAAGCGGTGGATTCTTGCCGCCTGGGAATGGCATCTTCAATGTACTGACAGCATCTTGGAAGGTGACCGCATCGAGGCTTGCCATGCAGTTGAGATCGGCGCATCCCGTCTGTTTGAGTAGCTCGTCGAATTGCCATTGACTGTCCCCTACGTCTCGTAGCGATGGAAAGGCGGGTGATTCGGCAGCAGCAGCGTGGAAGAGTCCGTCATCTCGTCCACCATATGCGGTAAGTTGGAAAACAACGGAGCCTCCACCAGCGCTTGCTCCTCCGATAGTAACATGTTTCGGGTCGCCTCCAAATTGTTGGATATGCTTTTGTACCCATTCGAGTGCTTTTCTCTGATCTTTCAGCCCATTGTTTAGACTCAGACTCGAATTCGCAACAATCTCACGTCCAGCTAGGAACCCATAAGGGCCTACTCGATAGTTGAAGTTCACCACAACCATGCCGTCGTCGCCAGCATCAATCAAGTCTGCACCGTTGTAGTTTGCATTGCCGTTGAGATTGAAGCCACCGCCCTGAATGAAGACGTAGACCGGTAACTTGCTCTTGTTTGTGGCTCTCTCTGGCGCGAAAACGTTGATAAACAGGCAATCTTCTGAGTTGGTCCCCCCAAATTCAGCTTTCAGTGGTCTCTTGGTGCCGATACATAGGGGTCCGAACTAAAGTGCTGTTAGCGTGTTGTCAACAAACATGAACGCGTCTTGAATACTTTTGTAGCGTTGACAACACCGGACTCATCTTTGGGATCTTGAGGTGCGGTAAATCGCAGTCCCTCTACACGCGATGGATTGCGTGCATATCGCATACCAGCCCAGCGTATGACGCCATTGCCGAGATCTTTTCCACGGTACTTTGCATATCCAAGGTCGATCGTTTCTTGCAGCGCTAAGGCATGCTGAAATAAGAGTGCTACACAAAGCAGCAGGCGAAACATTGTTGACAATTGAGTAAACGAAAGGCGAGGGAAGGAAGGAAGGCAAGTCGCAAATAGGTACAAACAATGGGGTATCGTATTCGGTGATGTTTCCCCTGGTTGTCGCCGAAGGGTCGTTCCGATACGAGCTATGCTATAGTGCGGCAGGGCTACGTAGATCTCTGTTCTAGGGGAACGGGTCAGAAGTACAAAAGAAACTCGACAGTTGCATCATGCTATCATGACAGGGAGTTCGGTTGGAAGTGTGCTATTTCCGAAGCGTTAGCTTTCACATGTGACGTCTGTTTGCGCCGTGGTGAATAGTACATACTGTGTGGAGAAGGATCAGTGACATTAGCACCACCGTGCTATTAGCAAACGTAAGCTCGCGGGCTGAGTCGATGGTAGTACAGCAACGAGGATCCACGTCATAAAAGAGCGGGCCCGCGGGTATAAGAGTGCCTGAGTGATTTGTTGTTGCTTCTAGTTATCGCTGCAACGGTCCTATCTGCACCGCCGCACTGCAGCATCGAACCAGGGTTTTGTAAAAATCCAGACCATTTGACTGCATGAGGGCGTGAGCGACTCTGCGACGGGATGACCCCAGGCCTCTGACAAGTGGATGCTACCGACCAGGGTGATTGACCGACAGGCAGTAGCGCGCGCTGACGGTACAATTACACCGAAACTATTCCATTGCTGTGCCTCGTTGAACTCCTGGGGTCCGCGGATTTTCATTCGAGGATCAAGGACGGCGACAGTGGGAGACGCAAAATGACGACTGGTGCTGAACGGGCACGGCAGATGGTGATTGACAACAGTAATGAGATCAGATCTACGATGTGAAAGCGGTTGGCAGGTGCCCAGCATTGTTGATCCAAAAGCCATGTGGGACCTGCAGCCGTATCCATGATGCGAAGCCTGATCACCTCAAGGATGGGGGGCGGCATCCTTGCCGGCTTTCTGCTAGAGGGCAAGATCGGCCGTGCCAACGCGCGAGCAGGACGGCTGAAACCTGGGCACAAGGATGAAACCGCGACGCCTTCACGAGATTTTGTGGAAACACTCCAAATTACATTTTCCAAGTATTTTTGCCCTTCGCTTGGCCTCATCATCGAATGATGATGATTTTGTTCAGCATCAGTGCGAGCCTTTGGGATACTCGGCTCCGTCGCGATGCCCGAATGGCGTTTAAAAGCCACGTCGAGACGTGCTTGGTCGGGCCTGTTGCAGCGTCTGTGAATGCGTCGTGGCCCACGTGGTCTGTTGTCAGCCTCGGGCGCGTATTGGAGGTTGTGACAAGCACTCGAAAGCTCGCCAGCTAGGAATCTGCTTATCCTGGAGGCTTGCTTTTCCAGGGTCCACATGCGTCACTTCTCAACGTTGTCGGATCAATACATGGTATCCATGGTTTGAGGCGGTCAAACAAACAGCACATCACTCTGCGAACCTACTGGTCTGCGGTGCAACACAGATGATCCCCGCGTTCACGCACACCATCGTGCCGTTAGGTTCGGTGATCCGGAGAAGCCCCAATGCCGCGGGAATTCCAAGCTATCCGAACGCCAGGCCTGCAAGCCACTAAGCCATCGTTCTAGAACTTCCACCACTCTTACACTTCACGACATGTCTTTGAGAATTCTCCAAAGTTCGTAAAAGAGCATTCTACACGTGTTTCACCTTTGCAGAACACCAAGGTTGAAGCGTACTGCAGTGGTTCCGGAATGGGGAGCCGCAACCTGCACTCAAAACTTTCCGAGTCCAAGCTAGTGATATCTCATTCGCGCGTAGACTGCTGCAGCATGCGTGATTTCCTCTGCACAAGCTGTTCCCTCTCCCAACACGATGATGATCCTTCGGAATGCGTATGCGAACCTTGACTCATATTCAAGTAAATCATTTGTTACATTTCAGTAGAGCGTGATCTTGAGTTCAAAGGTGCTGGATGGCAGTTCCGCAGCAGACGAATGCGTCAAAGCACGAATTCTCTATAACGGTATTTGAACATCTCTTGGTCTTTATACACAAGGATGTATCTCACCGCCTAAACCCTAGCTGGTTCTTTTCCTCCAAAGCTGTTCCCAGTATATACATATCCAGAACCCTATGCTGTTTCTGGCATCAATGCTCGTCTTCATTTCCTGTCTTCTCATCTGACACTTGAATCTGCATCTTCCATATCTAGCAACGCTTCTCTCAGAAGTCAGTAACCCTCCCATTATAGCTCCAATCACCCGTCTTTCCAGTGCTTCCCCACCTAAGAGGTTCATTCTTTGGTCCGCCCACCTCCCCCGTCTTGGGATTGACATCACCCTCAAACTCCGGCGGTGCCCCTCTCCTCATATTAGGATGAAACTCCTCCCCCTTCTTGATTTCCTTGCCATTCTCAAATCGTACTTCGGGAGCTGAGTCGGGTGACTGATTTATTTGTGGTCTTGACCTGGAGGCGGGGGAGGCGGGTGTTGGAGATGACGAGTCTGGAGACTGGTTGATTTGCATGCGGATGTTTGGTTTGGATGTTGGGGTTTCAATGTCTTTGGGTGTGCTGAAGGCGCCAGTGCTTTGCTTTTGCAGCTTCTCAAAGAGTTCTTGCTCTTCCTTGGGTAGGCGGGGTGGCGCTGGGCCCGAGCCAAAGGGTGCTTGAGCATGTCCAGCTGAGATGCTGAATGTGCGACGGGAGAGCTGGCGGGGAAGGCGCGCGATTGTGCGCGTTGAGGCAGCCATGGTCGGTGGCTAAATGTGTGATGGGACTTTCGGGGGCGAATATACTATGCGAGGTCTGTCGCGAGTGTGGTGGAAGCTGTTTGTAAGTCGATGGCGAAGACGACCTTCTTGACTATAGATCGGGACCGCGGCTTGACGGAGCCAATCGGAGCCCTGCAGTGGCAACGGAGGTCGGATTTTCGTACATCGTGGATGTGCATCACACTTCTCTTCTACAACCTTCCAGTGTAATTGCACCGTGTTCCGAATTATTTTCGTGATATCAAAATCCCCAGTACATATTGTGTCTAACTTTTTAGAAAGCTATCGTCCCTTCTGGGTCAGAAACGCCCACCGTCCTCTGCATCCAAACGCCAGGCTATCGTACAAAACTACAGCACATATAATCTACGCAATGTATCCATTCGTCTCGCCCAGTGCCCGCGCACTCCTTCCTGCATCCAAGAACAAGTTTTGACATTCTTCCACATCGTCCACCTCGATTTGCTTGTTCTCCCTTCCATTGACCTCTGCCAGTACACTCGCTGGAGCCAGGAGTTGCAGCGCATATCGCAAGCTAATCTTCTCACCAAGCGCGCTGACCTTCTCCTTAGCTGGACCCGAGATGTTGAGTTTCTCGGTCGTAACTCGGGTGGAGATGATCGACTTGATTTCCGCAGGCCCGTATGGGTGTGTTGGAATAATAAGGAGACGTGCGAGGAGATCGGTCGGGATGCCGTGCGCCGAAGGAGGCAGGTTCTCCCCACCACGAATATGTGTGTTGCCGCGGTTCGACGCGAGGATGACAAGAGGTGATAGGGGAGATTCAAGGGCGCGGTTCAGGAATGTGAAAGCCTCGAGGTCGAGCATGTGAACCTGCGCATGTTAGTCAAACCCAAACTTTAGAAAGTGGTATCTTACCTCATCGATGAAGAGTACACCAGGTACCAGGTCCGCGATACCTTGGTCAATGTACCTATTAACGACCTTATTGATCTCTAACCGCAGCTTCTCTGTGATCTCGGTCTTCTTGGGTTTCATCAGTTGTCCCATCATGCTCATGATGTCCTGTCCACCTTGCGGCCGCGCGTTGGCGACGTCTAGGTCGTGCAGAGTGACGTCTTGAACAATCTCCTTCTTCTTGTGAACATCACCCTTTGGTATAGGAACGTACTCCTCTGCCTCGAGATCGAACTCGGTCGCGTAGGCATCTGATCGTCCGACACGCTTCACAGCACCTGTGTTGGCTTCAATGTAGATAACATCGCCTAGACGGACGCGCTCCTTCTGTATAGCCTCGTATATGGATGGGTCGAGTCGCAGCTTCTTCGTGCCCTTGGCCGACTTGAGGTTGATGAGGAGATGCGAGATGGTGCGGCCATAGCCTCCAAGCGGGTTTTCAGCTTCCTCAGGCGTAAGCTCCGTCACTTCACCCTCATAGACCTCCTTGGTTTCCTTGACGCGAAGACCTAGCGCAAAGTGTTAGTGCACTCTGTGCCCACAGACTGAGTGAATGCGCACCTATTGCTCTCCTGAAGTTCTCCATGAGGGCCTCGGTCTTCTTCACCTCGGCAGAGTAGATCTCGCTGCCAACGATGGGGCAGAAGGGCACCTTAGTACCCAACTCCTGGCTCACAGCCAATGCCAATGCGGTCTTTCCAGTTCCAGGGCCACCTGCGAGTAGTACAGCTCTGCCGGACATCTTCTTCGCCTTGACAAGGTCAACGACTAAACCACACGCCTGCGCTGGTTAGTATCTAGGCTGAAGCAGCGAGCGAAAGTTGCAAGTACCTCTCGTGCTGCAGCTTGGCCGACGAAGCCACCAGCTGCGGGAGTTGCGCGTCCATCGCTTGATAGGCCAAGTCCTTTGATATGGGAATGCGCCGCGGTTCTGGCTGAGCGATCGTGCGTGCTCTTGACTTCGCTGACAGGCACCGTCGTCATTTTCGGCGTCGCAAGCACTCAATTCTATCAAACGATAATGATTTGGTATCGGGATGACGGTCGAGTTCGTGTAGGCGGTGTGGCGATGGTGTGGATAGGTAGGCGCGCGTTGTTTTGGGTGTCTTGAGCTCGAAGTTTTGGGAGGGATGGCAGTTCGCGAAAGGCACAGCTAGCGCGTCGACCGCAGCGCCGGCGCTCTATGTCAGTCACCCGCTTGAATCCCCACCCTCCGCCTCCACTCACAGCAGCAGGGCATTCACGGTCCCAAGCCAGGACACAGGGCTGCCCGCAATACTGCGCACTCGCTCACTATCGCATCGCTCTCTGCATCGCAGCCTGCTGGTATGTTGGGGGCTTTCACCATCCCTTCCTCCTCCATGGCGTCGCCTATCAGTGACCGTCACACGGCGGCGCAGTCAGGGTCACTGCCTGGGCCAAGGGCCAACAGAACGTACAGTATCTGACCTTCCTCTCGCTGTGCCGAGTACTGACCTTACTACAGACCACTACTTACAGGAACACATGTTCGCGCCCTGAGTACCGCCATCACTGATATCCCCCCCTTCGGAACATCCTCTTCCGAACAACCAACGGCCACTCCTTCACCCTGACGGAACACGGAGTATCTCACGAAACGCCCCTAGGTCCGAGACAGGTACGCATGCAAGACGCCACAGAATACACAACACCCTCAACGGCGATTTCCTTCGGATCCCGCCTCGCCTGATTAGTCGCATCCACTCTCGAGTACACTACCGAGCCAAGACCAGAGATTATGGAACATCACACACCGAGGCACAACGCACATTTGGCAATATTATCTGGATTTTATTCAGGCCGCCGACACGAGCAGCATATTCATACAGCAAAAGACTACTCGCATGTCCCCCATTTTCGGTAGAACCACCACGCCAAATGCTTGTTACAGCGCGCAGCCCATGCCTTCGACCAAAAGGACCTAAAAAGACAAACCTCGTCACTCGTAATCCGTTGTCGGCATTGGTACCATGATCATGGCACCTCTAGGGTGGGGTCGGTGGGCAAGAGAATACTATACATCGATGTGTGCGTTGGTTGTGTGTGTGCGTGGGTTTGGTGGTAAGTGAGCGCCTGCAAGCTCGAGCAAGCACTGATGTCTGTCTCAGATCTCTCGCCATGGCTAACGACGCCCGATGCGCACCGACCGCAGTATCAAGATGAAGGCAAGACGCGCATGTTCGATCATGTCAAAGGAGAAGGAAGGAGATCGGACCAATCATCGAACCAGGATTTCACGCGAAAACAGGAGGACTATTTGCCGAAGAAGATTACTCTTCCTCGCTCTCGGAGCCGCTGGACTCGTCGTCGTCGCTGGATGCATCATGCACTACAAAGGTTAGTTGATGATTGAGAGGTGCACGCACTAACAACTCACCAGGCGGAGACTGGCTGGATCCCGACGCACCACCCTGGAACGACTGCAGTTTCTCCTGGATCTTGCGCATGTTATCCTCCTGTTCACTCTTGCCCATAGGCTTATTCTTCTTCGGTCGAGCCGCAGCTTGCTTCGTCACCTGCCTAGGTGGCTCAAAATCATCATCGGCTACGGCACCTCCCTTGGGACCGCGCAGAGACTTGATGAACCTCAACAACTCCCGGAGCGTATCATCGTTGATCTCGTCCATATCGAGCTCCATTTCGTCATCGTTCACGGTCGCAAGGTGTGGACAGCCATTTCTGATGATTTGGACTGCCTTACGCATATCAAGGTCACCAAGCGTACTGATGCCCTCTGAGATCTCCTGTTTCTGGGCGAAACTCAGAGGCGCAGGAGCCTTAACCTTCTTAACCGGTGCAGTCTTGATAGGCTTCGCAGGCGGTGGCACCGCAAGTGGAAGACTCTTCCGCTTTGTTGGTGGCACGGCGGCCTTCTTCTTCTTGCCAGGCAATTTGGGTGAGGCACGTTTGCCACCAGTTTGCTGCTGCAGAAGTTGTTGCGCTGTGGCGTTCAGTTGTGCGATCTGTTGCTGGATTGCAAGAAACTGAGCCTGAGCAGGGTCTATCTCCTCCTCGTCTTCATCTTCCTCATCATCTTCGTCAGAGTAGAGGTCGCTGGGCGAGTGTTCAGGAGCAGGCGCATGCTGGGCAAGCCAGTCGGCCTTCTCCTTCCACAGGCTCTCAAACAGATCCTCCATCTTGTGCCCCATCTGGTTGACGGCGTCACCTTCAGGATTGAACTTGTAGCAATTCTGGAAAACGAGCTGCGCATCCGCGTAGAAATCCTTGGCACTTTGGTAAACGCCATTCTTCAGATTCTTCTCAATCGTACCAAAGTCCATTGGTTTCTTGATGATCTTGAGATAGGACGGAATGTTGAGCGCCACAGGATCTACCGGAGCAATGAACGGGTAAGTAACTGCACTGTACTTTGGCTTCATGAGCTCGGTAAGCACAGACTCGCAGAACTTGAGTTCTTGCGCAAACTTCTTCCTTCTCGGCTTTGCGTTGGTGTAAGGCAAATCCTTCGAAGGCCTATGAATCTCTCGCTTTGGACGACCGTCTGTAGTAGACGAATCACGTCGAATCAACGGCGTGCCGTCTTGCTGCAGAGGCCAGGCAGCCTGAGGTGAGGTTGCTGCAGGAGTAGCGACGGCAGGAGATTTGACATTAGGCGGTGCAACACGAGACTCACGTCGAGCCTTTGACGAAGTGTTTACTGATGGCTTCTTTGCCTTTGCCGGCTTAGGTGGCTCTTCAGCAGCAGCACCTCGGGGCATTTTACCCATGCCTTTCAAGAAGTAAGCGCGGAGGTTATATCCTGCTTGAGTTACAGGATGTTGCTTGTTGTTGAAAAGCTCGCTGTTGGTAATCATCTGATCGAGGTCTGCCATGAAATCCCTTACGTAAGTGTACTTCTTGTCCTTCAACTTGTGTTCCATAGTAGTCAAGTCCATGGGGTTCTTGACAATGTCAGGGTAAGTAGGAATGTTGAGGGCTATGGGGTCAACAGGATCCTTGAACGCTATCGAAACCTTGATCTTCTTCGTGTTCCTTATCCGCTCAAGAAGAAACTTGTTCTGTGCGTCCGTCATCGGAGTGGTTGGCCATTCTTCCCAATCAACAGCCCTGTGAACACCTGATGCCTCGTGTGCAGAGTCGGAAGCCGGCCCTGGAGTACCGCCATTTGTGCTGGGTTGCTCCGTTTGATTGGGCAATTCGGGGAGCTTGAAGTCGGTCTGAGCACTCGTCTCTTCTTCGGTCTTTGTGCGCTTCGCGTCGGGAATATCGTCATCATCATCCTCGCGGGGACGGACTTTGCCCGAGGACGGAGCATCTTCCATCTCACGATCTACAATAGCTGGAGACTGAGCAGCAACAGATGGGGGCGCAGTAGCCGCATCGCTGTCGGTCTTGATTGTTAGGTCGTGCATTGGCTTTGTAGGTGCTCCGGATGACTCTGTAGGTTTCGACTCGGCCGGTGCATCGGCGGTGGTATCCATGCTGTCTTCAGCTGGCGCTTCCTCTTTGGCGACAATCTGCGTCTCGGGTACTTCTTGGGTACTAGCGGCTGTTGCCTGGGTCGCTGAGGAAAGCTCTTCGGCAGTTGCGGGTTCGTCGCGCACGTCTGAAATTGGCGCTTCTACGGCGTTGGTAACCGTGGCACCAGTATCCTCGTCACCAAACAAGGAGTTGTTGTCTTGTTGGCTGTCAGGCAGAAACTGTGCGACACCGTCGATTCCAGCAGAGACGTTGGTAGTGGGCTCGATGGCGGGCTCGACTGCAGGCGCTGATGCATCCATATCTACGTGATTGCCGTTGGTGGTTGGTTTTGATTGCGCGGTTTCGTTGAGGGTTGTCTTTGGTTCTGGGTCGTCGAAGAGCACATCGTGAACGCTACTAGATATTAGTAGGTGGCGCAAGGTGAGAGGGGAGACGTGATGAAGAGTAAAGGGAAGAGCGACTTACCCGTTTGCCTCAGTGTCTACCGCCATTGCGTCTGCCGGCGCAAAAGCGCTCGCCTTAAGGTCCAGGGAGGTTTTGTCGACAGTGGGAGATGTCATTACTGCCATAGGGCCATGAAAGTGAAAGGCGGGTTTGCGCGCGGCTGACAGAGGATGTGTTGTGTTTGATGTTGTTGCTAATCTGGGGTTGTTAGCGATTGCCATTTCGGGCGCACGCGACTGCGCAAGAATACGCGTGTTGACGACGGACACGGCAATGAGAGGGGTGAGTGGGCGCGTTTGCGGTGAAGGTGGGGTCGGAGGGTGAGGCTAGCGTCGGTAAAGTGACGCGAGGGATCAGGAGGGGCAGTGAGGAATATATGTTGCAGAGGCTGAAACGCACGTGACTACGTACCAGATGGTGGCGGCGGCGAGGTATCAAAGAGTGGACGGCGGTCGGTGATGAGTCAGACTTTATAGCGCCGACGCGTTTGTTATGTTGGGCCAAGCGCGTGGAAGGCAGAGGCAATAACGGAGTGGTGCAGCTGTGCGCCCTCTCTCAAGATGTGCGACAACAACACAAACGTTGGTGATGGAGTGCACGGATGGTGACGGCGGGCTGGATGCTCAGACGGGCGGGCGGTGAGCGCTAGTGTCAAGCGGGTGCAGACAGACGGGGGATGGATGCGCAATATTAATTATGTCGGATTTACTTGGTGCAGCAGCCTAGACTTTTGTCGAGATGTGACGGATCTCGGACAGGTGACAAAGGTGTGGCGGGGGAGTGCGAGTAAGGTTGGGTGATCGGGAGCAGGCGCGTATTGATTGGAGGCAGATCAAGAAAATGGACTCAAGAACGTCGAAGACAGACGCGAGAGGAGAGGCATTGGGGTTAAGTAGCCCGGCCCTTCCATCTCCGAGCCAAGCCTCGCAGCAGCCCCTGACCTGCCACTAACCTGGACGGGTACGTGTCCTTGCCGACCACTTGAGCATCCGCACCCGCAACGCCGCGTTTTGGGATTATCTGCTCTCTTCCGACACCTGCGCGTTCAACTTGGACGGCTCTGCTACCCTCCCGATGACTTTGTTGCTGGAACAGATGCCGTCGACGCGTCGCAGCGAGCTCGACAGCTCTACACTATGATCCCTGTCAACAAGGCCCGTGCGTGCAGGGGTGGGTAATTCGCTCTTTCCAAATTTTTTGCGACCACTTGCATCTTGCGCATTGCTTCAGGCTGCAGCACCACAGCCTTGAACAAACTTCCGGTCAAGGCATCCACGCGCCCAGTCAGCGACCTCTCGACATCCGCTGTGCCTACCACAATGCCCGCCGCAGTAGCAACCCCGAAGAATCACGACCGCCGACCGGCGAAGAAGCCCAAGTTGGCGCAATCATCTGCGACAGTCCGTCAGAATGGCCTCAAAGCATTAGTGAATGGAAATGCGGCAAAGCCCACGGCAAAGACAAATGGCCCAAAGAACGCGCGAGCAGACAGAGTCGACGACGCCACTGCTGTTGTCGAAGGCCCGGCCGATGCGCACATGCTGGATGCAGACGTCATTGAGATCAGCAGCGCCGAGGAAGAGAGTGAAGACGATTCAGAGAGTGAGCAGGAGGATCCCACACCGAACGGCGCCGCCGCCGATGACGACAATGCCGCGGAGCCAGAAGAGCTTACGTTTGGGGACCGGCTGCGCGCAGAAGGCCCTGAGCCTGTTCAAGAATCACGAATCATCAGCGTAGAAGATGCATTTGACCCCAACCCCGAGCGCACAGTAACGACGACCAAGAACCGCCCTCTTGCACCGCCGAACGCAAACTCTCTCGGCACTGTCCTTACCCAAGCCCTGCGCACCAACGACAAGGAGCTTCTTGATTCATGTCTCCAGGTTGTGGATGTAGAGTCAGTATACGCTACTGTAGAGCGGTTGCCATCGCCATTGGTTGGCACATTATTGCAGAGGTTGGCTGAGCGACTTCACCGAAGCCCTGGCCGGGCAGGCATGTTGATGGCTTGGGTGCAATGGAGTCTTGCTGTAAGCAATCCGCATCCGACTTGAAGGAGGCAACAACTGACACATCAACAGGCCCACGGTGGATACCTCGCTTCCCAACCACAAATCGTCAAGCAGCTCACCGCACTTAACAAAGTTTTGAAAGAGCGCTCGAGCGGTCTCATGCCGCTCATGTCGTTGAAAGGTCGCCTGGATATGCTCCAAGCTCAACTTGATCTGAGGAAACGGAACCAAGCCGCCAACGACGATGCCGACGAAGCGCTAGTCTATGTCGAGGGTCAGGACGACTATGTCTCCGATGATGAGTCTGTCGATGGTGCCACTGCGACCCCGAAACGATCGCGCGCGGAGATGGACGATGAAGATGAAAGCTCTTCAGACGACATGGGCCTGAATATGGAGATGGAGGACGTTTCTGATGAAGGCAGCGAAGGTTCTGACGAGGACCTTATCGACGACGAGGCGGAAGAGACGGACGATGACGAGGGCGAGGGCGAGGATATGTCGGAACCCATGAGCGACGACCTGGAAGATGGCGACTCCGAGAGCGGAGACGAATCGAAACCGGAGCGACGATCAACTGCCGCACGGGCAGGACTTAAGAGCCGGCGCTGAGTATGGAAGAGGAGGTTCGTAATATTTGTACAGTCTACGACGGCCCGCGAACCAAACTGCTTGGCGCGTCCGATCATCCAAAATGGGATTCACGCATAGGCGTTCATCTAGGTGGCGTTGATACCTTACTTACGGCAATCTACACGAAGTTTAGATCTCTTCAACGCATCGCTTTTGCAGACACCGTTGGTTTGCATATCATGGAATTAAAGGTACTTCATACAATCAGTCAGTTTGCTGTTCTGAGACACGTCTTTGCCTTCTCGTCAGTCAGAGACAGTCCCTGCTGTGAAGCCTTGTCGCGTTAAGTGTGCACAGCGAGCTGTCGTCTCATGGCACAATGTTCTTCTGACGCTGATATAACAACATTCTCATAACTCTGTCAACATGAAATCTAGCACATATCACCTCGACGCTGTACTCCTAAAACTTAACAGCGAACCATCCCAACCTGGACTTCATCCACAACTTCGACGCAGAGAAAACGGACAGCTTTTCAGCCATATCTACCCTGGCCAGGCGGGAAAGGTTTACGCTATAGTCTTAGACTTCAACGGCGATCTCATCGACCGTAACAAACCGTGCCCAGAGCTGCGTCGCACAGCTTCAGGCCATCTTTTCCAATACAAGATACCAACTGTCAGGAACGTGAGTCGCGTACCTTCGATTCTCCACAACTGGTTCCATTGACCATAATAGGACGAGCATACCTAAAGCGTAACTCTAGCCGTTTAGATACTACACTCGCCAGTCTCTTGGCACAACGATTGCGACGAAACAAGGACCAGCAACCCCACTAAACCTCACCAAAGACACTAGAGCGGAAAATCATGGTTAATAGACGCAATATTCGTCCTGCCTTTCGAAGTGAGCGCTTCGCCAAAGAACAACTAGGGCAGAGAAACTTGGCTATCGGACACAAAATTCCTACGCACCACACTCGGCGCCTCACCAACGAGGAATTATCAGAGTCGAGAGATTGGACTACCAGACGAGATACCAGAAATCGGGCTAACATACCTATGGCTCCTACACTACACACCCAACGCATCGTACCTACAGATTCATCACTGCCACGGCCTCAACATCTGACTGGAATGGCGTCTCCGTATACACTGATCCAAGTAGGTCATAGAATTGACTCACGGGCTCAATTTGCTCCGCATACAAACACGTACGATGCTGACCCTAGGCCTAGGTCGGATAGACGGCGTGCGTCGACGATCGTTACCCAACGCACGACCGACTTGGCTGAATTGAGTGAAGAGAATGAGACATTGCGTGAGTGGAAGAGGTGGATGGCGAGTAACAAGGACCCCGCTAAAGAAGCTATCGATGACCGGCGTACGATGGAACTTCGCCTCGTAAGTAGTTGTTCCGATCTCCGGGCTCGTTTCAAACTTGGTGGGGAAGTCGCTGTGAACAAAGTGAGGGATAGAACATACGAGCCCTCTTCCCACAATTTCGGTCACGGGTTTGATCGTGATGGCTTTTACGGCCAGCTTGATAACTCACCGAGACCAAGAACCATGACGGTCACGAATTCAAAAACGGGCGAGAAGAAGGTAGTGCGTTTGGATCATCACATGCGTCCTGTTCTTCGTACTGAGGAGCAGAGTTCTGAGACTGATGGTGACGATCTTTGGTCGCAAATTGCTCGCGACCGGGAATAGCTGAAGACTCCTTTTTTTTCAAGTATGTTGCGCTTCATATCCTTAGTACCCATCCCAATCCATCCTAGTCTGCGCCATCATGATCGTTGCAATTCCTCAATACTTTTTTCTACCTCAATCTAGTGACTCTGGGAATGCTCATCTGACAGTACGAAATTGAAGAAGACTTTCGAGGCTATCAGTGCGCTTAGGGACGATGTCCGCACCACCCGAACGAGCGTTTAAGGATTGTCTGGCAAACCTTCAAATGTCGAACGTAAAGTCAACAAGCTCGCTCAAGAAGTTGCGAACGTTAACGCCAGAGTCGAAGAGCTAGTTAAAATAAGGACAAACAACTACTCTAGGAAGAACTAAATGTTACGAATGCAGTATGGAACGAAATGGGGTGCTATAATGCAGTTGGATGACAACAAGCTGAGAGTCGAGCCGCTGGATGATGACGAGGTGCGGAAACTAATCCGAGACATTGCTTTGGAGAGCAAGTAGTCTTCCGGATCGGGAATCTGGTTAGCTACGTATGTGAGCCCCAGCCAGGCGAAATGCATAGTGAGTCGAATCACATATCTACATTGAGCTAGACGGTTACAGTACCTCAGTCTCATTGATGCTTGTAAAAGCCAACATGATTGAGTCTTTGTCTTCCTCCTCGATTTTACTACTCAAATCACGTCTTTGTTCTACGTATATTCCGAAAAACAATGCCCTTGTCAAACTAGACCTTAATATACTACTTATGTGATAAGAAAAACATACATACCTCACCATTTTCTACCATATAGCCCAGCTCCAATGTACATATACGCAGCACTTATTCTT